CTTTAAAGTTGTCCAAATGAAGTTCGTAGTAATGAATATTACTAATCAAAAATTAAGTTTTAATATATTTACGGTAGGAAATTTACAAAATGTCTTCATGGAGCATGATCTTTACTTAATATCCTAATGATTTTTGGCATAAAAGAAAAATGGATCATTTTGACCCATATGGTTGTATATTGTTAATATATAACATGTATTGTTGGCTATTGCTACAAATATACCCCAGCGACTTAAGACTGCTTTTGTGCTCCAGGGTCATATATAGGCTTATGTTTGATCTATTTTTCCTTTTTATTCGAAATATTCCAAAATGTGTTAACTATATCATAAAATATCTCGATTCTCAAATATGTGTAAGTAAATGCATTTTGCACCTTTATAGATTATGTTAGTTAATGGGCGATGGGCAAAGTCGCCTAATTTTAGTCTAATATATAAACTACGCATAAAAACCGTCTTTTTACTTAAGTACCAGATATGGGTGTCATGCCATAATATATTTTTAATACGACTGACTTTGTATTTAATGTGAATTTTATAAAAACATTGTAAGTTGAAACACTTTCATTGTACAGAAAGAGAGCAAAGAACATTTTCACTGACTTCAGTTTAGAGTTTAAGCACTCTCAAGGGATGTCCATTTAACGCGTTAATTAGATTAATTAATTACGGTTTGATAATTATGCTATCCCAGACCTATGTGTGTCACCTAACCTTTCATACACTTGATTGATGACAAATATGATGCAGGGCAACAACTCACTGCGTGATGGAGCCTAGAGAACGTAGTTAGAATGTCCCTAAAATTCAAGATATGGGGCAAAAATGCCCCTGTTTGAATTTATGTCTCATATTTACATCATATAGTTAAGCAATATCAGATGAGCAATAAGTGCAATATCACACGAGTGCAATATCACACGAGCAATAGGCTAAGTGCAATATCACACGAGTGCAAATGTGATACTGATCTTATACAACAGTTCAATAAATAAGAAGTCAATATTGTTATTTTAGACATAATGTTGTCTGTTTTGCTCAAGTCGAACAAGCCTAATGATTCAATGAACCATTCATAAAGATTCATTTACTTCACTCCTGAATGAATCAGCCATTTGAACGAATCAAATGAATAAATGACTCGATGACTTAATCATTAAGACATTTACCACCACCTACTGGCAGTTAAGAGTATCATTTCATTAAAGAAATAATTTCATATTTTTATATAGTAATAATAATAATACAAATTATTAAAGGTATAGTTCACCCACCCAAAAATTCAACCCACTCGCCCTCATGGTCCAAAAGAGTATATGTAATAAATTCTATGTTGAATCAAATAAAATATTTCTTGCTGAAGCTACTTTTTGTCATGTCTGTTTGATTCTTTACACAACTATGACTTTAAATTATCTTTTGGGAGTAATTTCTCAGCCAAATTTGATGTGCGATTAATTTGCGATTAATTACATTAATTGATCACCACATCATTAAATCACTTACAAGCCCTAAAAAATATTATTTTGCTATATTTTTTGTCGTTTGAAAGCTGCAATCAAAATCCACTTGGCTCAGAGATCTGAAGGGGCACGTGCTCCCTGGGTTTGAATGGGCATGAGTGTTGTTTAAAGCATCCCTGCTTTGATTGGAGTTCATCACAAGCATTGTGTGTGTTTTCTATCCTGTAGGGTCCGTTTGTGCACATTGCCAGTTTGTGTGCTGCTCTTCTCTGCAAATTCATGTCGTTCTTTGGTGGAATTTATGAGGTAATTAAAAAAAAATCATAGCCTGCAATTTTAAAGAAATTCCTCTAATAGAACAAAATGTGGTATCTATAAATAATGTCTTTTATCTATGCTCAAAAAATTACATTCGTGTTTTTTACTGTAAAATATGATTTTACAGTAATGAGAATCTAGTGAGAATAACTGTATGAAAATGAGAATTGCAAGAAAAATATCAGTACAAAAACTAATTTGCAAGCATTTTTGGTGCAGGACACTTTGACTGACATGAGGAAAAATGTATGCCTTCTTACTATCTAAAAAAGAAGTAAATTTTACATCAAAAGTTATTGTCATTTGTTATTTACATTTAGTTTGTGTGCTGCTCTTCTCTGCAAATTCATGTCGTTCTTTGGTGGAATTTATGAGGTAATTAAAAAAAAATCATAGCCTGCAATTTTAAAGAAATTCCTCTAATAGAACAAAATGTGGTATCTATAAATAATGTCTTTTATCTATGCTCAAAAAATTACATTCGTGTTTTTTACTGTAAAATATGATTTTACAGTAATGAGAATCTAGTGAGAATAACTATGAAAATGAGAATTGCAAGAAAAATATCAGTACAAAAACTAATTTGCAAGCATTTTTGGTGCAAGACACTTTGACTGACATTATGAGGAAAAATTAATGTCTTACTATCTAAAAAATAAGTAAATTTTACATCAAAAGTTATTGTCATTTGTTATTTACATTTTGGGTTTAGAAACACTTTTTTTGCAGATTTATTGAATTTTTATCCAGTATTATATATCAGGAAACAAATGACCTTAAGTTGTCCTTCTTACATTGTAAGATACAAATCTTACATTTGGATAAAAGTGTCTACTAAATGCATACATGTAGATTGGTAAATTATAAACCCCATAATTTTATTCCTGGAAAGAGTTTCGCCTCCGCGTTTGTTTATTTGTTTGTGTGTGTGTCTGGAGTGTGAGTGTGTGTGTGCATGTGTGTGAGTGTCTGAGTGTGTGTGCGTGTGTGTGTGTGTGCATGTGAGTGTGTGTGTGCGTGCGTTTGTGTGTGAGTGTGTGTGCGTTTGTGTTCGTGTGTGTGTGTGTGTTACCAAAATCAATCTAAAATGTATATATTTTTGCATTTCTCTTGATGAAGTTTTCCTTTTGTGAGGATAAAACTAACAGGGATATCCATCTGTGAATAGATTTACCAAACACAGGTGTGTGTCTATGTTTGTGTGTGTATCTGTTTGTAGATAGATAGTGTGATAGATGCTGTGTGTTTTATAGTTTGTGACTTTGTGCAAGTAGATTTTTTTGTGCTTGATTGTGTTGGTGTATTGAACAGCCCAGGATTGTGCTGGTGTGTATGTACTTCTGCTTTTTGGTTTTGTGTGTGTGTGTTGAAGTAAGCTGGGTTGTCTGCTGTTGTATGTTAATTTTCTGTTGTGTGTGTTGAACAGAATGAGTCCAGAAACATCGAGATGCTTGCGGCGGCTTGTGCTGTCGGGGTCGGATGCTGCTTTGCTGCTCCTATTGGAGGTCAGAACCACATTTCTGAAACAACCAAACAACATTGTGTAAATGCTCAGAATTTAATCATTTTTGACTAAATTAGTCATATTTCTCTAAACTGTCAAAATAATTAACATCCATCAAAACTATTTAGTTTTGCCCTGCAAAAAATATTTCATTCGAAGTTAGTATCTGTTGATTATACTCATTTTTAACCACACAGATATACTAATAATAAACATGTATATCAGAAAATATCTATATTGATGTTAGGTCTTCTAATCCTGCTTCTTGTTTTTTTTTTTTTTTTGGCTCAATTCTGAAGACTTTGTTTAAAAAAAACTGTATGAAAATGAGAATTGCAAGAAAAATACAAGTATTTGCAAGCATTTTTGGTGCAAGAGACTTTGACTGACATTATGAGGAAAAATTAATGCCTTCTTACTATCTAAAAAATACATATAAAGTTCTTGTCATTTGTTATTTATATTTTGGGTTTAGAAAGACTTTTTTGCAGATTTATTGAATTTCTATCCAGTATTATATATCAGGAAACAAATGACCTTAGGTTGTCCTTCTTACATTGTAAGATACAAATCTTACATTTGGATAAAAGTGTCTAATAAATGCATAAATGTAGATTGGTAAATTATAAACAATTTTTTTGAGTAATTTTTCTTCAGAATTCTGAAGACTTTGTAGTAAATTATTTATGAGCCGTTTTCAGTTCAGTTCTGAATGGCACACAAAGTAAAAACATTCACATGAAAATTAAATAATGTTCCTAAAATTACAAATATGTACAGTTACTATGTAGTTAATGCAGTTTTTACTTCAGATACAGTGCTATTTGTATGTTTTGAATATTTACTGTAAATTTGAAGAAACGTACAAAAAGTCTGTGTTTGAAAAAAAGCTTAAGATTCCGATATTTGAAAAAAAAAAAAACAATTGTATTTTTGAAAAAAACTTGTACTAGTGCTTGTAATGTAGTTAATGCAGTTTTAACTAGGGGTTACTTTGTTATTTGTACTTTATGAAAATTTACAGGAAAAAAAACATACAAAATGTCTATATGTGTCCCTGGAGCACAAAAGCAGTCTTAAGTCGCTGGGGTATATTTGTAGCAATAACCAACAATACATTGTATGGGTCAAAATTATTGATTTTTTTAATGCTAAAAATCATTAGGATATTAAGTATCCTCATGTTCCATGAAGATATTTTGTAAGTTTCCTACAGTAAATATATCAAAGCTTAATTTTTGATTAGTAATATGCATGGCTAAGAACTTCATTTGGACAACTTTAAAGATGATTTTCTCAATATTT